ACCCCACGAGTCGGCGGGGTCGGGGGAGGAGGGGAGGGGCGGGGGGGGGGCGGGCGGATGATTGTACGTTTACCTCTCACGCCCTTTAATTTCTGAATTATTCATGAGCGAGCGCGACGTCCAAAACAAGGTGTTGCTCGCTCCGGCGGGCGCACACATTATGTAACGGGGGATAAGATACGCGCGATAATTCATAACGCGGAGGGAAGTGTCAACCGTCAACTTCCGCATGACGGAACCGTACGTCACCCTTATGCGGAGAATTTCCGAAAAGATTAACCGCCTTAAATGTCGCCGTGCGACATTCCCGTAGCGCGAGGGCGTTTCACCGCTTCCCGGTTCGTTCCTCCCTCGGGCGTTTTACCGCTCCCGGAATTTCCCGGTTAGCCGTGAATTGAAAGCCAAAGTATTAAGCCGTTGCTTGTTCATTTTAACCCTTTAGCTACCACGTGCCACTGACGGTTTCCCTTTAAGCGACTTTCCGGGACCACGCGTTACTATAGCGGCTACCCTCTGTAAATGATTTTCTGCTCTGATCAAACGGCTACAACGGATCCCCTTTTTACCCCCTCGCATTTCGAAATCATTTATCTTGTTGTTATTCGTATTCATTTATTATATGCGAATAAAAAAAAATACTATAATTCGATTAGCCGATTTACAGCAGTTTCTGGTGGTGGCTGAAGAGTTAATTGCCGTTCGACTCGATGAAATCGAAACGCTCTTCGAAAAATATCTTTGACAAAAATAGAATCAGGATCGTACCGAGTACGTGCTCGTCGTCGAGCGAGATTTCTTCATAAGTCTTTTGAGAAATGACACGTATGAATATATTTAAAAATCATAGGAGAGATCCAAGTTCTGAAATTTATGGCCTCTCTCTAGCGTTCGCTCGAAAATTTCACCTCTTTACCTTTACTCTTAAATCCCGCGAATATATCGCGAAATAAGCGCGATATATCGTGACATAAATGTCAGATTAGGTTTCGAACGCAAGCAACGCCAGCTGCAACTTCTCGCGTCCATTGATTTTATTTTCTATAGTTGTGTCATCACCCTTAACGATCCTCATCATCGTCGTATTTATTATTATTATTATTAATCGCTCATTTACTCACCGAGCTGTCGAAATGTCGGAGCTAACTTCCAACGATAAAACCTACCGTCTCGAACTCTGCATTTGCGAAAGCCACCTCGCTGATCATTGTTAATCGAGTTGATCGACGAACGTTTCCTTTTCCGAAATACTCGCGACGGAGTCACCTCGTGGTTTCTTCGTACGCGCGACTCGTCTTTGAACGATAAAAACACGCGACAGAGTCACTTCGTGGCGCGACAGGTCAACTAAAGTCATCGCGCATATGCGACGAAATACCCGCGTTTTTGAAAGTCCAATGAACATCAAAATTCATGCGGTATTGAAACTCGGATATTCGGTTGTAACCGCCACTGTTTTATGCATACACGTAATAATGAATAATTGACATTCATACATATATCTTCGAGCTACACGTGTGTGTGACAATCGCATTGCGATCACATTGTTGCGAGTGAACACACGTTCGATTTTCAAATTCGTAAATCATTGGATGATTGATCGGAAAAGAGGAAAAATGGAATGATCATAATAATAATTTAATTTTATAGTTATAATTAAATAAACGTAACAATCTTCGCAAGTATTCATGCATAATTAATCTATATTGCCACTTAAAATTACATTTTTCAAGCCTTATTATTAACTTAAAGTTATTATACTTTACATCTGAAAAATGTATCGAATAATCGGAAATTTAACATTAATAATAATTACATAATAATTACAAAGAAAATTTATAAGTTTTGTAATTAAATGAAAATAGATGTATCGGATGTATCGGACAATCTTATAATACACAAAAATAACAATTCGAATAAGATTTCTTTGTAAATTATTTGCAATGCTAAAATAACTGAAAGCTCTTATATAAATACTATCTACATTTTATGCAATAATATTCATTTAGCATTTCGATCTTTTTCCCTAAAGCATATATGAAAGATAATAAAATAAAAAAAATTGACCACTATTTCATTTGAATGTAGATAATATTAAATTTATACATAAATCTAGCTTGTCCAAATATGTTTTGTATTATAAATTCAGTGTTAATTATAAAATTAAATTACATAGCAATATAAACGTCAAAATTATTAAAAATCTGGAAAAAAGCAATGCATTAAAATGATATAATTACCTTAAAAACATATTTCAAATAGAACTTCTTTGTTCAAATATAAAAATATATAAATTATTTAAACAGAAAGCACATGCATATTTGCATATATATTTGCTTTGAATCAAATAAAGTTAAAATATAGGAACAAGTATGTAAAGCAAAAAAAAAAAATTACGAAATTAGTCGTGGTTCTATCATCTGTGTATAATTCAGTATAAATGTATCTCCATCAGGATGATTTTCAAACTCGTCTTCTGAGAGTGAGAATTTTCCGAATGGTACTTGGATTTCTTCCCTGCCATCTGTAAATAATACAGAGTTATTTATAATATAGTTAAAAATGCATACAATGTTACCTACCGATTATCCTCAGAGTATAATTTGTAGACTTTGGGCAAAAACCTATTACTTCACTGATAATAGTATTGGATACTTGAGGCGTGTAATCTGTACCCATCTTTAAAGTCTAAAATTTAATACTTAAATTTAATTAAAAGAAGATATAGTTAATTTTATAGTTATAATATATAATATATACTCTAAAGGAAATAATATCATTAAATTGTGGTTTTCTGGTCATAACAGGAATCTTTTCCAAGTCCATACGAAAATTCTTATTTTGTACTTTTTTATTAATTTCTTTGCTGCATGAATCTTTTTCGCTATTTTCTGTAATTTTATTTAAATTTTGGTTTGTCTCATCATTTGATATGCCTTCTGCTCGAACTCCGTTTTTTAACTTCTTTATAAATGTAAGTGGCGTTGAACTATGCCCTAATGCTAACAACGCAGAAAGATCTTTGGAAGACGAAGCTTTGCTCAAGTAAGATTCATTTCTCGACACTTCTTGTACTATTTGTTTAGCAATATGATTTTCATCTTCTGTATCAAATCGTATATGTTTGTCAGAAGGGATAATATAAGAATCTATTATCTTTGGCTTTTTTGATGTTGGTTCATTTTGTTTGTATTCTTCATTTATACCATTAAGAAGTGATGCGACAAACTGAGATCGATTTTTTGGCCTCCGTTTTCGTGTCCGTTTTCTTTTTGCAACGGATACAATAGAATCCATTATATTACAATCCTCGAATGAATTATTATTATCCGTAGTTTTAGAATCTGTATCTCCTTTACTGTGATCAATCATTGTATCATTAATAACACTATAAAATGTCATATCTTTTGTCGCATTGTCTAAAATTAAAAAAATATCAGTGATTAAAAAATAAATATCTCATTTTGCTTCATTTTTATATTTCAGCACATAAAATCAACTAACTTATTGATGTTGGTTGCATATTATTCAAAGTATCATTAGATACATTCTGTACAACCATTGCTGTGTTAACATTTGCTATTTGGGACTGTTTATCATACACAGAATTATTGCTCGTTTCCACGATAATCTCATTATTTATACCTGAACCAGGAACAACCCTGCAGATCAGTGATAATTAACATATAATTAATGAAATTAACAAAACAACTACTATGTTTACAAAGCATATCAAAATGTAATAAAATTTCACATTGCAAAACATGTCAATAATCATACTAACAGAATCGTCTCATTCTCCTTGAGTATACGCACATCCTCTGTTGGCGGTAGATATTCAATATCGTTTAGCAATAAATGGAATGGTTCCCTGATGTTGAACATTCTACTGATGTGTTGTTGTATATGAATGATATGTTGAACCTTCATCCCGTCGATGAAGATCCAGCAAAATCGACGCGCATCGTGAAAGAATTTGGACAGATCGATCTTTAATCGGAAATGTGGATACTTCATTGTGACTTCTTCCGCAGTTGTCATCACGGAACGTTGCTCGAGATTCATAATCGACATGAATATGACCACGCGATCGTCAATCGTTTACAAATTTTTGCTTCGCGATTGATGGCCGACTCGAGCGCCGCATCCTATATTCAAAATCGCTTGAATCGAGTGAAGGTAACTGCGAACGATAAACTGAATAGCGTATCGCCATCTGGAATAACAATTTAGATCTACGAAGAAAGATCGTTTAAGATAATTTTCAGACTTTTTTTTTCTTTTCTTCTCGAAATTATTTTTCGATTAGAGTTATTTCATGTAAAAAGATATTATTAAAGATCAAAATAAATATATGATGTAATATCTTTCTTGTTAACTTTTTCGAAACTTGCAACAGTAGTATTTTGGGGCGTAGAAATTAAATTAGTTCGCGTGAGATGTCGCCCTTATTCTCTCTTACAATTTCGATTGAACACAGGTGATAAATGCGTTATGCAAATAATAAAAATATGAATGAGCTTTATTATTATTATTATTATTATTATTATGACAGAAATCCCTATAAATAATGGTTGACGTAATGAAATGAACATGTCTTCTATGATTTGTATTAATTTTTTTAATTTGTTCTTCGATAAAATATAAAAAGTTACTTTTTAATGTAAAATAAAAAAACGGATAATTTGATATGATCCCTTATGATAATACTGCACATTTTATTTATTTATTTATTTGCAATAATCTAATGATACAAAGTCAAATACTAGCTATCTATAACTCTGTTACCATATGTATTCTTTAGAGACGGAGGGAAAGGCTCTGTAGTCGTATTACTATACTTATAAAATAAATCAGCTTTATTCGCAGTTCATTTAGACGTTATATCGTCACGTTTCTAATTTATATTCTTGTCTTGTTCTACATCGCGCGTTCGTAGGAGAATTGCGCAGATTATTTAGAAGAATATTTGTAACATTCACACATTACATAACATCATGTGTTTCATATTTAATTATCAATATAGTATATATAGTATCAACAATGAACTTTCCCATGTGAAGGGAAATGTACAGTGTCGAAATAAAATGAAATGTATATATTTACATTTTCTCCAAATGACAATGAATCCTCAATTATAATTTTCCACATAACTCTAAACAGATTAACTGAAATTTATAATTGATTTTTAACATTTTCAATTACGAAAGAAAATATTATAGAAAATATTATAGAAAAGTATTTTATAATGGTACAAAATCATATAAAATTAAATTAAAAAATATAAATTTAAAGAAAGATATATCATAATTTATATTTACAGATATTTAATATGTTTAATACAAGATACAATGTGGTCTTTGCGATATAAATATCTAAGTATGGGTATTTTTTATTATCTCATCCTAATAAAAATGTGTGGCAACAATGTTAGATAATAATAAAATTTCAATTTTACGTAATAATAATAAACATATTTATTTTCCAAAAAAATGCAATCTCATATTTAGCCATTAATTCTCTCAATATTTGTTAACTTTTGACAAAGAAATTACATAATAAAATCTCTCTATTTACAATAGACATCAATTATATAATAGAAATTTATAATAAATTCTTAAAAGTAGTTTAGCATATCTCAATTGCACATTAAAAAATTGTAAGATTAAAAAAAAATCAGTACAAATTTGTACTAAATGTATCTAAATGTGCACTAACAAGCACAACCGTATCTTGTATGGCTTTAGTAGCCATGAAACTTGAAAATATATTGTATAAATATTAGCTTCAGCAACTGTCTAGCAGATTAGTGATAATTTCCACACATCCAATTTAAAATAACCGACTTGTTTAATTTATAAGGTATATATATATATTTTGCATTTGTCGAGTACATATTTAAAAAAAAAAATCTTTGTTCTACAATGCTCTAGCTCGAAAATAAAATATACAATTTGGACAATATTTACATTAAATCTTTTTTTCGTAATATAAACTAGGAAGTTGACGAAAAAAATGTCCTGCTATTGTAATTATTACCGACACATGAAATATGATACAGATTCGATACGTGAATTCGAGGTACAGACTTTTGCAGTTATTTCGTATTTATATTTAGCATGCTGAGCCTAAAAATATTCGGAACATCTAATGTCTTACTAGAGAAAGAATACTTTGTCTTTAGTCGTTATACAGAAGAACTTGATTCACATCACGTATAAATACGCAAAGTTTTATATATCTAGGTGATCGTGCGTAATACTGCGACATTTTTTTTCTCTCATTCCCTCTTCCTTTATTGTTATCGTTCTCCTGATATTGCAAGTAAATAGACGCGTTCGGCACGGATAACGTGTACATCTGTAATAAATTTTAACAAAATATATATTCGTACACATATTATAAGAAGAACCAATTCTTATTGTATACGTATAACTATATTTTGATAGGGTCTCATATAGCGTAATCTTCTTGAATTTTTGTGTAATTCACGATAATAAAAGGCCGGGCAGTGTGAAGTAACCCTGAAACACGATATATCTGTAATAATAAAACTACATAATACGATATTAATTCGGAATTATTATTATCTTTATATAAACCCGGTAGACGAGCAACTTGTTGCAATTTGTTGGTTCATTTTTACCTAGATCATTGTTCCAATCGCAGTCAAAAGACAATGTGGAAGAAAGATCGCTTTGATGTCATATTTATTATCAAGTTTTGACAATATATCCTTAAAATGCAAATAGCGTAGTAACAAAACAACTCCCATATTACTTAGAGTTCTATATACTTGTTTAGCACCCTCTTCTGAAAAGCTTCATAAATTCTAGTTCTTCACCTTACGTCAATACGAAGATCATTTTGATTTTGCATCTTTCTAACCGATCTCCCTTTAATCGATCTGCTGTCGACATTATCAGATCAGTCTCGCGACAAGTAAAGAGAAGTTACAAGAAGTTACTAATAGAATCTACATATCTATCTATTTTTATAAAATATTCTTTATACTTGATGAACCAAATAGCGGTCTTCTTCTCGTGTATGTAACACCGTAATAAAAATTGACACACTTTGAAATTGTTCTCACTATCCGAACAGACAGTTATCACAAGATTGAAAGAAGCGATTATACGAAGTTTAAAGAGACTGGTATTTTTCTTATTACTTACATTGCTGTTTAATTTTAATTGGCTTATTTTGTCAGGACAACGACTTACATACATGTTGTTTCTATCGAATTGACAAAAATATTTGTAGAAAACAAGTAAAACCCTGAATATATTTGTATGTAATATTTATATCCAGATATTTAAAATATTATTTTCCTAAATAATATTTTGTTAGGACAAAATTCTAGCGTTTTTAGACATAGAAAAAGAGAGAGAGAGAGAGAGAGAGTAGTTTGCAATATGTCTTGTACAATATCTCTTGTACAAATGAAAAATGAAAGGATTTAGGAATTTAATTCCAGAAAGTTTAAATATCACAAATTTAAGACCTTTTTAATTAGAAGATATGAAATTATAGATATGATATTATAATAGATTTGGCATTTCAACGATTCTTGCCTAATTTTTAATTCAACGATATCTATTCTTTTAAATCGCTTCAATAATATCCATATTTTTATATAATATAATACAAAGTCTGTATTTTTTGAGTAACTTTTTAATTGCTCGTATAGAAGGTCCATTATATTTGATACATGAAAGCGATGACACCAAAGAGAGAAAGAGAGAGAGAGTGAAACCTTTCTGAAATACTGTATATTCTCGTGGTCTCGCTTATTAGATTATAATTTTATAATTCATACTTTATGGACGAATACCGAATTGTCGCAACATTTTTCGCGGATTCACACGAGGATTTCCGTCCAACTTCCGCGATTATCATTCGTTTATCATTAATCGATATTCATAGTCTATATCATATCCGTAGTCCGTAGCAAATGAATTCGGATCTCAATCAATCGCCTGCTGTATGTAACAATTGGATAATTTTGCGGGACTGGACGCATCGGCCGGTATCGGTGGAATTATCAGGGAAGATTTCTCGCGGGGCAACGCCGGGAGGGAGGAGTTCTCGCCTTACGACAGGATGCAAGAATTTCTTTTCGAGTCGGAACGCTCGCGGATCTGTTGCAGATGTTGCAACTGAGCTGGGGACGGCACGTGGGTGCTGCTGCTGCTGCGCGAGTTCAAATGCTGAGGAGGCGGCAGGGATTGCCGACGGCGACGTTGCAGCGCCGGACTCAGATTGTACTTCAGCTTGGCTTGGATGAGAAGCTCCTTAAATACTTGAGAAATGTTTAGGTTTTCCTTCGCGGATACTTCCACAAAGCCGTTCTCCCACTTCATGGTTACAAGCTCCCTCGTGCTCTCGGTCTCCACCTACAATCCCCCATTTTTATTGTTGGATACTCAAATCAAGTCAAACAACGTGAACAACGCGCAGTTAATCCACATTTTCGGCCGTTCAAATTTCCTCCCGTCGTATACATGCGCGATTTTAATTTGACATTTAATTTTTAATATTTGGAAATTTAGAATTAAATAAAGTCGCGTAAAGTTCGAGATTCTCACGATTTTTCACGCGATCGAGTTTTTGAATTCAAAACACTCGGGCATTATTGAATTTAGGAATATTCCTATCTATAGAAATTTTCCTGTCTCTTAATCTCGAATCTGCGATTATACAGAGATTCAAGAAAAAAAGGTTCAGCCCTTATCGAGTTTTAATGGAGTTTAGATATCGAGGACATAAATCTCCAGAGCAACGTGACGCGATAAATCCCATTTTTTTCCGACGTTATAAAAGATTTTTCTTCCAATTTCAAGAGTAAAATGAATTCTTTTATCGTGCGACCTTATTTAATAAATCTTCTGAAGACACAAAAAAATCGCCCGGAATCCTGAAAATTCCGTAGAAAGAGAAGAGTCGATCATTATTTTATTGCCGCCGAAGCTCACCTCTTGTTCCGTCTCTACGAGGTCGATCTTGTTTCCAACGACCACAATCGGGACGGCTCCCTTCGTACTGAGTATCTGAGTCCTTAGTGTCCTGACCTCGAGAAACGTATTAGAGTCGTTCACGTCGTAAACCAGAACGAAGGCGTCGGCCGACTTGATCGAGAGATCTCTCATCGCCGGGAATTCGTACGAGCCGGACGTGTCGAGAATGTCGAGAGTCAGATGAATCCCGGAAACGTTGAAATCCCCGTGATGCATCTCCTCGACGGTCCGCTTGTACTTCGGCGTGAAGGTGCTATAAAGGAACTGGTTAATTATCGCCGACTTGCCGACTTTCGCCGCGCCCATCACCACGATTTTATGCCGGATCGAACTCTCGGACGACTTTCCACCGCCGCCGCTGTCCGCCTCCGATAGTCTGTCATTTCTGAAATGGCAACGTCGTTTTCATTAACTCGCATTTTACTCGAAATACAGGAAATTCAGCCTCGCAAAGAGATATTACAATTAAGGAAAATAAGTTTCGAGTAGGCGTTTTGTCGATATTTCTCGTTATACCATTCAAACGTGCCTCTTTAAACATATCATTGTATATTGTACCGTAGTATTATGAAATACGAGGAGAAGAGAGAGAGAGAGAGAGAGAGAGAGAGAGAGAGAGAGAGAGGAGGAGTAGTA